CTACGACTACTACCACCACCCTAAAGCCACCACTACGACTACTACCACAACTAGAGCAACCACTACGACTACGACGACTACTAAAGCGACCACTACTACTGCTGCTTCTCCTGCATTCGGTGGTCATTACTGCGGTAGCATGATGGGCCAGAGTTTCACTGTTGACTTTGCCTCTAATGGCCGCGCTACCATCAATGTGATGGGTATGTCTGCTGGCGCTGATTACACCGTTGATGGTGATGATATCGAGTTCTCTAACTACGATCCTATGCTTACCAAATTGATGCAACAGTTCCACATCAAGAAAATTGATGCCACCATCATCAGTCCCGATTCCGTCCATATCAAGATCGGTTTCCTCCTTGACACCACTATCACTAAGTGCTAAAAACACTCCTTCTTTTGTCTAGCTTTCATCCTGTTTGACACTATTGGAAGTAAGATCTCATCTACTCCTGTAATATCCATTATCTGTTGTGTTTGTCTAGAGTCATTCAGGGTTTTTGGGTACAACCGATGAGAATGATTAAAATTGTTAGCAGTATATCACTGGAATTTCTTTTACTTCAACGTGATAGTCTGAAGCGTGATATGACTAAGCGTCTAGCTCGTGTAAAGGAATGTTTCAGCTTTGCACGATGTATAGATGAATCGAATGAGAAAAGCGATGATGGCGAAGTTTGACCCGATCAGTGTCAGATTGAGACAGTTCCGCCTATATTAGACTTCATTCTAGCGAGTGTAATTCTCGACTGGAAAATGGGGTTTCAAGCGTCGAAATCTTACATCTTTCTGAGGAACTCGAGGCTCGGATCGAAGCTCATAGAAGCAATGCTGCTTCTGAGGAGCTCTACCGCCTCTGCTGAAGTTGCACCATAAAATCCACCAACGGCGTGGCATGCTGCACGTTGTGCCTCGATGTTCAATCTGATCGGCAACAGCGCACAATCATACATATTCCACAGCTCATGGCCTACGGGTTTAGTCTCCACGACTCGAGGAACGCTTGAGACGCGGCCTTGCCATCTTGCTTGTGACGTGCAAGCAAACCCTTCACAAGCCACTCAGTCGATGATGTAGGAGTGAAGTTCGGCATCTCCTCCTTCAAAGTGAGTAACTATAAGCAGAATGCTAGGACTCATCACAACCCAAGTATTTCGCGTCCAATTTCCCACCTGAGCACGCAGCACTAAGTCTCCCATCAACTGCGTATTAGCCTTGCCGTTCCCTCCTAGACTCTTGTACTCATTAATTACTCTAAGATACTCACCACACGCGAACAGAGCACGGCAATGCGACTCTCGCGCCTTGGAGTCTGACGGCTGTAGCGCCACCTGAGCGATACACGAGCTACACCGTGCATGCTCCTCATGGATTTACAGCCAACTCTGAGAAGAACACAGCGGATTCCCAGTTGCATTTAGAGAATGCTTCCTCTGCCGCTTTCAAGAGGGAGTCCACAGCGGCTGTCGTGCCTCGACGATGTCCATCAGTCGGAGCCATAGAGCGACCAAAAGTCAGCTGAGATTATGTCATTCATTGACCACACAGAAGTAGATGGTACGGACGAGAAAAGTTGTTAATTAGTGATGAAAATCTTGTGGATGGGAACCCACGATCTGAGTTGATCATGATGACTAAGACAGCAACGTGTGAGCTAGATGGGCACAGACTGTGCAGCTTCTAGCAAACTTACTAGTCATCATCGTGGAGAGATACGAGGGTATCACACATTAGGCAGAAG